ATCTTTTCAAATTAGAGTTTTCATCTTTTCTGGACATATCCCCAAGAGTGGGGTTGTTAGATCATATGGTAGCTCTTTTTTTTTTTTTTGACAGTGCTATAAAACTTGTTTCAATTCAGCCCAGGAATTGAACCCCGGGCCATAGTTTTGAGGGCTTCCCTGGTGGCTAAGCTGGTAAAGAATCTGCCTGCAGTTCAGGAGACCTGGGTTCCATCCTTGGGTTGGGAAGATCCTCTGGAGAAGGGAAAGGCTACCCACTCTGGTATTCTGGCCTATACAGTCCATGGGGTCGCAAAGAGTCGGACACGACTGAGCGACTTTCACTTTCCACAGTGATGAAAGTACAGAATCCTAACCCCTTGACCACCAGGGAATTTACTTTTTTTTTTTGCTCCCCCTGGGACTGTCAGGACTTTGAATGACAATCTGTGTAGGTGCACTTGCTTCACAACTGGATGGTCACAAGGGACCATTGCTCTTGCTAGCAGCTCAACAGAGAGGGGCAGAAAAGTAACTAAAACCATTGTTTTAAAAGCGTCCCCAGGCCCTCCCCCACGTAAATGAAACCCCTCCCTAGCATTGTCATCATTGCCTGCAGGGTGCCTCTCAAAACGAGCGGTTATGTGTGTCTGTATGTTGCAAAAATTAGTATCTTCGTTGACTTCTGGACCAGGGCTCTTTGGGAAGCCTGTCCGGGTGGAGGGCTACAGGTTGGTCCCTGCAGACTTGGTACCTGGGGGTACCTCACTGTGTTTTTCACACGATGATGATCTATCTAGTTGGGGAGAGACAACGCCGCGCCAAGGATGAAAACTGCAAGAGTAGGTTTTCATATCCCATGTGCGTAGAAAAGCGAGTGAGAAGGAATTGGGGAAGGAAAGATCCATAAAGCAGAGCTTCCCAACAGAGGTGTGACCTCCAGATTCCTCAGGGAGTTCTCCTGGATGCCCATGCAGGCGGGCATTTTGTTGTTAGTCCCCTCTGTCTGTCCGCCCAGACCTGGCTTTGTGATGGAGAAAGTTTGAGGAGAGCTTAGATGCATGTGTCTAAAATCATCACCCATGTTCCCTCAAGGGAAAACCGTCAAGGAGAATTGGAGAAGTGGGGTTCAGGCTCAGACAGGATTGGCTCAGACACTCATATTTGGAAGGCTGGAATTCCTGATGGCTGTGCCATCCTTGTTTCCTGGATATGGCAGGAATAGAGTAATCTCACATCCCTCTTAGAGGAGCTTTGCTCACACGGGTGGAATCGCTGCCTTCTCTGGGGAGACCACAGCACATCCTGTCTAAGGCGTTTTGTAAATGTGCAGTAAGTCACTTCAGTCATATCTGACTCTTTGCGACCCCACGGACTGTAGTCTACAGGCTCCTCTGTCTGTGGGATTCTTCTGGCAGGAATACTGCAGTGGGTTGCTGTTCCCTCCTCTGGGGGAATCTTCCCGAACCAGGGATTGAACCTGCGTCTCTTATGTCTCCTGCCTTGACAGGCGGGTTCTTGACTACTAGCGCCACCTGGGAAGCTTTAAGGCACTTAGCAAATAGAGCTCCTTTTTAATTAATCTTTTAAACATGAATCCAGATGGACAAAGGCACTTAGATATTAGCAATAAATTGTAGCTACTTTAATTCTCGGTTTCAATGAGATGGTGGATATTTATTAAATAAANAAGTGGGGGGGGGGGCTACTCTCCAGGTGTGAAGCTTGACTTCTCTTGTCGAGGAACCCCCAGGCTGAGCGGTTGTGGCCCCCGAGGTTCGTTGCCCCACGATGGCAGGTGACATCTTCCCGGCCCCCCAGGGATTGAACCCGTGTCCTGGGCACAGGCGAGTGGATTCTTAACCCCTGGACCCAGCAGGAAAGACTTCGCCTTCCACCTGCCGCCTGCCCTTTACTTTTAGTATTTAATGGCCGATATACAAGGGTACCTTTCCTAGGCTGTTTGAGTTGGCAGAACATTCAAGTTAACTCTCATTTCAGCAGACTGACTTCCCCAGACTGCTCAATATGTGAACGTTTCTTTTCTCAACATAATGCCTGTTTTGGCTGTTTTTTTTTTTTCTGATCTCCCCTTGTGGTTTGTGGCATCTTGGTACCCTGAGCAGGAATGAACCCAGGCCCTCCGCAGTCAAAGCACCGAGTCTCAACCACTGGACCACCAGGGAATTACCTGACTTTTTTATTTTTCTTGTTTGTTTTAAACTAAATTCCCTAAGCTGGGTTAATATTTTATTAACCAGGAAGTGAGCGAAGTCGATCGGTCGTGTCTGACTCTTTGCGACCCCATGGACTGTAGCCTCCCAGGATCCTCCTGGGAGGAGGCAAGAATACTGGAGTGGGCTACCATTCATTGCCTTCTCCAGGGTATCTTCCCGACCCAGGGATCGAACCCAGGTCTCCTGCATTGTAGGCAGATTCTTTACCCACCTGAGCCACCAGGGAAGTCAGTTAAGCTGGAAGTGGAGAACAAACCTGCCCACTTGTGGGGTCCCAGGGGGTGACTGGTGATCTAATGTCCTCGTCCAGTTTACTGAACCCTTTGAGCTGCTGTCTCTGGGCTCACAAGCGTGACGGTTGCAGAGTCTGGCCCCAGCTAGACGACGGGGGACGCTGGGGGAATTGGCGGGGGGGAGTCCGTGGTCTCCTGTAGACCAGCCACGGAACCTGGAAGGGACCTTTCTCCTGAGGACACAGCAAGAGAAACACACCTAGGGCACTCAGCTCTCAGCGCAGCCGCCTGGGTGGGGTGGGGCCGGTTGCAATGGCCAGGCCTGGAGCAGATGCACCTCCTGGGCTCCCGAGCAGGTGCCGGCTGTGTGTGCAGAACTCTCCTGCCCCACACATCAGGTGGTAGATGACGGCTCATCTTGCACTTGTGCTCTGCCCGCTGGCTGGCTGATCGCTGCCCTCTCGTGGAGTCTCCTCTAACAGCCCTGAGGTTGTCCATGGACGGAAGGGTCCGTCCAAGGCTCATTTGATGGCTCAGGTCAGAAGCAGATGCTTTTCAGGACAAAGCAGCAGATGCATGGCTGGCTCATTTGTTGGGAGTGTGGTTATTGTAACACCCACGAGCTTTAGTTATGGCCTGGATATATATATATAGCATGTACAATATACATCATAAAGCTTCAGCTTCCCCCGTGGCTCAGGTGGTCAAGCGTCTGCCTGCAATGCAGGAGACCCGGATTGGATCCCTGGATTGGGAGGATCCCCTGGAGAAGGGAACAGCTACCAAAGAATTGATGCTTTTGAACTGTGGTGTTGGAGAAGACTCTTGAGAGTCCCTTGGACTGCAGGGAGATCCAACCAGTCCATCCTAAAGGAGATCAGTCCTGAATATTCATTGGAAGGACTGATGCTGAAGCTGAAAGTCCTATCCTTTGGCCACCTAATGCAAAGAACTGACTCACTGGAAAAGACCCTGATGCTGGAAAAGACTGAAGGCAGGAGGAGAAGGGGACGACAGAGGATGAGGTGGTTGGATGGCATCACTGACTCGATGGACATGAGTTTGAATAAACTCTGGGAGTTGGTGATGGACAGGCCTGGCATCTGTAGTCCATGGGGGTCACAAAGAGTCAGACACGACTGAGCGACTTCACTTTCACTTTCACTTTCATGTGCATGTACAGAATGCCTGCGTGTGTTTTGCCAAGGCAGGGGTGTCTGTGTGTCTGTATGCATGTTAGTACATGTTAGGGAAAGCTAGAACTGGATATGGAAATGGGTGAAAAGTGAAAGTGTTCATCACTCAGTTGTGTCTGACTTTTTGCGACTCCATGGACTGTGTAGCCTGCCAGGCTCCTCTCTGTCCGTGAGATTCTCCAGGCAAGAATACTGGAGTGGGTTGCCACTGCCTTCTCCAGGGGATCTTTCCAACCCAGGGATCAAACCCGGGTATCTTGCATTGCAAGCAGATTCTTTACTTGCCTAAGAGTGTGAAAAACATCATTGCCTTGGTGCAGCTTCCAAAACAAGCAGTCTTTGTTTTTCTGATATTTAATCATAGGCTGCTGGTTTAAAAGGTTTCGTTAATGTATTTGCTGCTGTCTTAAAAAGTTGTATAAGTGAAAGGGAAGTCGCTCAGTTGTGTCCGACTCTTTGCAACCCCATGGACTGTAGCATACCAGGCTCATCCATCCATGGGATTTTCCAGGCAAGGGTACTGGAATGGGTTGCCATTTCCTTCTCCCCCTCCCCCCCAAAGGTTTTATCCTTTGTATGTGGCAATTTCCTGAAATAAGTCCCGTAAAAACACTGTTGCAATGTGAAATGAGTATTTCTCCATTTCACACCCATTTTTTGTCTAATGTTTGTGTGAATTGTATTTTGCCCCCAAATGGCAGTGTGTGTGCCCACGTGAGCCTTGTGTGTACGCCCTCTCCTCTGGGTATGATGCGCCCGAGTACCCTCTAATATGTGCTTGCATCTGATGTCTGCCCGTTTGCAATTGCAGCGGGGACTGGCGCGCAGACATGGGTGGACTTAATTCTTTAAAGTCGTTGAAGGGAGGTTGTCCGTGCCCTTGATGGAAGGGCGTAGTCGCTTCGGGGAGGAGAGGGCTCCCTGGAACCCGTGCCTCATTCTTCTTCCTTGCTTCCCCTAGACAAGCAGATGGTCAGCCTGGGGAGGGCTGCCGAGGAGCACCGCGGGACCCCCGGCAAACTTCTGAACCCCCTGGCGCCCAGGAAGGGCCAGAGGTGTCCCTGGAGGCCCGCGGCCGGGCGGGCACCCTCCCTCGCGATTACCGGTACCTGGAGCCGCGCGCGCCTCTGGACCCCTCCGCCCGGGTGCAGGAGCCCCGGCCCCTGAGCGCCGCCCTGCCGGCCAGGAGAGCCGCCCTGCAGAGGCCACCGCCGCCCAAGCGCGAGCTCCGGCCGCCGCCAGGAGGCGCGCCCAGCCGGCCCCGCATCTCCGTGGCCTCCTCCGAGGCGGTGGACACGCGGAGCGCGCGGCGCGCGGAGGAGCCTGCTGCCCGGTCCCAGCGGGAGGCGCCGCTCCCTGCCCCGTTCCGGCCCCTGCAGACCTCCGACATGGACACCTCGCGCTCGCCGTCGCCGCAGTTCGCGCCACAGAAGCTGACGGACAAGCCCCCGCTGCTCATCCAGGACGAGAATGCCACCAGGTAGTGTCTCTCCCTACCTTGCCCTGTTTAGGGCTCCCTGCAATGGCGGGAGGGTCCAGTGCATCCTCCCTGCGTGTGAACATGTGCGGCCCCATTCGCCCCTACCCCCACGCCCCGGCAGCCTTGACTCCACCCCCCATGCTGGGTCCTGGGACTAACACCCCCTCCAGTGGTCACTTGGATTTTTAACTTGCTGGCGACTTTCCTGTCCCCCAAGGGCCAGAGGGTCAGCGCGAGGGTCAGGCTGTAGCACTCCAGGCCTCCCTGTCCATCACCAACTCCCGGAGTCTACCCAAACTCATGTCCATTGAGTCGGTGATGCCATCCAACCACCTCATCCTCTGTCATCCCCTTCTCCTCCTGCCTTCAATCTTTCCCAGCATCAGGGTCTTTTCCAGTGAGTCAGTTCTTCGCATCAGGTGGCCAAAGTATTGAAGTTTCAGCTTCACCATCAGTCCTTCTAATGCATGCATCAGGATCGATTTCCTTTAGGATGGACTAGTTAGATCTCCTTGCAGTCCAAGGGACTCTCAAGAGTCTTCTCCAACACCACAGTTCAAAAGTTAATGACAATGAAATAAAACCTGTTGCTCAGTTGCACCCTGTAGGGCTAGCTGCTAGCACCCTGGACAGCGCAGAGTATGGCTGTTCTCATCCTTAGGGGAAAGTTTTGTTGCATCTCCCCGCTCTAGAGTTTTGACTCTACAGTTGGAGATATTTGCCTTTTTGGTGGTGCTGGATCTTCCCTGCTGTCGCGTGTGGGCTTTCTCTAGCAGCAGCATGCAGGGGCTTCTCTTGTCACGGTACACGGGCTCAGTAGTTGCCGCGCCCCGGCTTCGTCTCTCTGAAGGATGTGTGGTCTCCGTGGACCAGAGTTCGAATGCGTGTCTCCTGCATCGGCAGGTGGATTCTTTTACCACTGAGCCACCAGTGAGGTCCCTGAATTTTATTTTACCCCCGAAGACAGCACCGCATGGACGTTAACTGATAGCATCCTGAGATCCCCCCTGGGTGGAACATCAAGTGCAGCTTCATCTAGGGGTCAGCACTGCCCTTGTCCAAATGCAGCTGACACTTAGATGTCCTTTCTCTTGGGCACATTGAGGAGCTCTGAAAGGGAGGAGAAGTGATGCAGTGGTTTGAGTGGAGGGTGGAGTGTGTGGGAATGTTGCAGATGAGCTGACATGGGCCTCTTGGTTCTCGGGCCCTGGTCTGGGACGTGGTGGGCTCCTCCGAGGAACGTGGCTGAGTGTTTGCTCGGTACTCCTGATCTCTGTTGACTTTAGGAGGTGGGCGGGGGGACTGGTGGTTTTCACTTTTTTCTTGCCCAGAGAGAGTGTGGATTTTCTCACTCTTGCCTTTTCCAAGAGCCTGAGAGGAGATTCCACAAGCAGTGGCAATACTTGTTGACAGTATCGAGTGGGGGCGTCTTGACGCATCCACTAGACTCCCATTCGGTATGTCATTTGTGGGGACCAGCGAGGTTTTCCTGAACCAGCGCCCTTTGCTGTACTGATCCTTGTAGAAGACCAGATTCTGGTCAAAGGAGCCCAGTGGTGGGGCAGATGGTGACCATGCCTCTCAGAGTTTCCTAGCCAAGAAGGTCAGCTTACCATATACCGAGTTCAGTGTCTCTGTCCCCAGGGCCAGTGTTACAGGTTGGTGACAGCCTGAGAGGGTGGAATGCCTTTGAGATCCACCATGAACTTTGAGCCAGGGTTCATGAAGGGAGACCTGCTCCACGCCCGTCATCAGCTGCCAACCAGACAGGGAGTAAAACACATCGGACAGGGCCTGCGAGTAGCCTGGTGTTTGTGCAGAGACGCTCAGGGTTCCCCTGGTGGCTCAGATGGTAAAGAATCTGCCTGCAGCGCAGGAGACATGGGTTCGATCCCTGGATCGGGAAGATCCCCCCTGGAGAAGGAAATGTAACCCCCTCCAGTATCCTTGCTTGGAGAATCCCATGGACAGAGGAGCCTGGCGGGCTACAGTCCACGGGGTCGCAGAGTCGGACACGCCTGAGCGACTAAAACACACAAACACAGATGCTCTTCTTTGGCCTGTGTTCCTGCTGACTGATTTCTTGAGTGCTGCCTTCCATGTCCTGTATCTCCCCGCTTCCAGTTAGCTCTACTTGGGGAGCCTTCTGGGGCACAGAGCAGCCCCTTTGTCCTGAGACACGCCTTCTTAGTGGTTGGGTCCTGCAGTCTCCATGTGTGCCAGTCTGAGGCAGAGATGCAGAGAGCAGGAAAGTGCAGGCTTCCCACCCTGCAGGGGATTTTAGAGAGTAGTCACTCACTCAGAGTAAAAAATGCATCCACTCACATTCTGAAAGCGGTGTTCTCCAGTATTCTGGCCTGGAGAATTCCATGGACTGTACTCCCTGGGGTCGCAAATAATGGGACACGACTGAGCAAGTTTCACTTTACTAAGTCACTAGCAGTGGGGAGGGTTTCTATGCGTGGAGGGAAAAGAAGGCAATGAAGAGGGGTCTTGCCTGTGTTTTCCTCCTTGGGTGCAATGCTGGAATTCTTCTGAAATTGAGCACCTCGAGGCAGAGGAGGGTCAAGAGACCCAAGTTGGGGGGCCAGGGGCAGGAACTTCTAGACCTTGTCTCCCCAATCTTGGAACGTGTGACCTGGATGGGCCCATCTTTTGAGTTGGGCTTCCCTGTCTGGAAGACAGCCGCCTCCCACCCCTACCATGGGACCAGCCGGTTTGCTCATCTGAGTTCTGATCGTTGAGCTGTGCCTGGGCGCACGGCGTGTCTCCAGCGGACGGCTCTTGTCTTGGCAGAATCGAGCGGGTGATCGACAACAACACCACGGTAAAGATGGTGCCCATCAAGATAGTGCACTCAGAGAGCCAGCCGGAGAAGGAGAGCCGCCAGGCGCTGGCCCGCGTCCCCGAGCCGCCTCCGCTGCCCCGGGGCCTTGAGCGGGACCAGATCAAGACGCTCAGCGCGTCCGAGCAGTCCTACTCACGCTTCTGCCCCTATAGCCGCCAGGGCACCGAGCCCCAGCCCCCCGCCAGCACCCCAGGGCCCCCTGCCAAGGACGACCACGCCTCCCCTCCTGCCCTCAGCTACCTGAAGGCCAAAGACAGGACCGCCGACGACCTCAAGTCAGAGGAGCTGGCCCGCGAGATCGCGGGCAGGGATAAGTCGCTGGCGGACATCCTGGACCCAGGCGTGAGGATGAGAACCACCATGGACCTCATGGAGGGCATCTTCCCCAAAGATGAGCACCTCCTGGAAGGCGCGCAGCAACGGAGGAAGCTGCTCCCCAAGGTGCCCTCGCCCAGGATGGCGGAGGAGAGGTGAGTAGACCACCCCAGCCCACCCCTGCCTCTCTCCTTCCCTGGGTGCGGTTCTAATCTCTTGGGCTTCCAGGGAGAGGGGCCACGGACGTATCTCTTTATCTGTTCTCGTGCGTGCTCTCTGCTGACAGGTTTCTCCGTAAGTGCTTGGCATTTGGGGATTTTTTTTTTTTTGACACCCTCCCCAAATTAAAGGTCCATTCTGGGGACCGCGACGTCAGTTGGGCAAAGACGGGAAAAGACACATTTCTAGCGATGCCCATGGGGCTTTTTCTCTGCTGTCTGCCCTCAGGACATTTGGCAATGTCCGGAGATGCTTCTAGTTGTCGCCCCTGGGAGAGTGGAGGTCAGGGATGGTGCTCATCGACCTACGGGGCACAGGACGCTGCCCATCTGCCCCCCTGCCCCCCCAAGAATGGTCCAATGCCAAAGGTCATTAGTGCCGAGATGCAGAGGCTTGTTACACAGTGAAAGCTGAGGCTGTGGAGAATATGTGCTTAACAAAAGAGGCCTTCTGTTGTTATGTATTTAGCTGAGGGGGTGAATTTGCTGTAATTTATTCTGTATAGAGGGTGGGGAGGGGGGGAGCTTCCCTGGTGGCTTAGGTGGTAAAGAATCCACTTGCAGTGGGGGAGACCTGGCTTCAATCCCTGGGTGGGGAAGATCCCCTGGAGAAGGGAATGGCCACCCACTCCAGTATCCTGGCCTGGGAGAGTCCCATGAGCAGAGGAGCCTGGTGGGCTACAGTCCATGGGGTCATGAAGAGTGAGACAGGACTGAGCTGCTTTCACTTAACATCCACACTTGGAGGCTGGAAGTCACGGGTGGCAGTAACATTTCTGCTTATTGTTAACGGCCGGAGATGTTATCCTTTCAGACTACTCCAGGGGATCTTTGGTCAAGAAGATCCTCTGGAGAAGGGAATGACTACCCAGTCCAGAATTCTGGCCTGGAGAATCATACAGACAGAGGAACCTGGTGGGTTACACTCCTCGGGGGTTGCCAGGAGTGGGTCGCCAGGAGTGGGTCGCCAAGGCAGTCTTAGCCACTGGACCATCAAGGAAGCCCACTCTGTCCCTGCCTCCGCTGTCTCCTCTCTCCGGCTGGTGTCTGTTCGTCAGCCCCACGGTTTGCAGGTCCCAGCCCAGGTTTCAGGTGCGTCTGTGGGCACACGATCAGAGCTAACGTGGCTGTTCTGCCGTTCGGTTCCCCAGGAGGGAGGAGACCATGCTGGCGGCCGCACCCTTGGCCACCAACTCCGCCTACTACAGCACCTCGGCCCCCAAGGCGGAGCTGCTGATAAAGATGAAGGACCTGCAGGAGCAGCAGGAGCCAGAAGAGGACTCCGGCAGTGAGTTGGACCGCGACCTGTCAGTCAAAAAGGTAGGGAGGCTGAAATCCGGATGAGGACAGGCTGGCGGGAGGCAGCTGGTGGCCCTTGGGTCCACCCCAGCCCGGCCCTGCACCTGCACCATTTGTGTTGGGCACGATGCTGACATTTGGGCCTACGTGTGAAGCCCTTTGTGGAAGAGTCTTCTGTCCTAAGGAGGTCTCTCCGCAGGACCTCCTTGCTCTCTCTCTGTCATAAGATCCAGTTTCAAAAGAACTTGGTGGCCACCGGTCTCTTTCATTTTAAGGTCAACCGATAGTGTCTCTTCTATTCCAGTTGAAACCCAAGGGATTTAACTATATGACCTTCAGCATGGTCCATACCGTCTTTGAGTACCAATTTCAAATTCCTGTGATCAGGTAATAAATCCAACAGCAGATCGTAAAGGGCTGTGTTAACCAAAAGGCAGCCCTCGTTCAACTCCAGAAACGAACCCAGGCCCTTGGGGATACAGCAGCAACACTCAAAATAGTCATTCCTTCCCTGAAGGCACTGCGTATTTGCAGCACAGAAACAGACACATAATACAGGGCCCAGGTGCTGTTGTCAATAAAGCTTTATTTAAAGACAACCAGTTCATTTATTTCATACGGCCTCTACATATTGTGTTACATATGGCCTTTACATGTTGTATTACGTTTACGATACTGTAAGGGGTATTGAGTAGTGGCCGTGTGGCCTCTGAAGTCTAAGATATTCACCCTCTGGCTCTTTACATAAAACGTTTGCACACATATAATGTAATCGGTCAGAAAAGTTAAACAGGGTGAAGGCGTACAGAGATAAAAGGAGTGTGATTGTAGAGAAGGCGCTGATGAGCTCATGATGCAGAAAAACCTGCAGTGACATGAGGGAGTGTCCGGTTCTGTCAGGGACTGGGTTGGGGGCAGCACATACAAAGGCCCTGGGGTAGGAGATACGTGACATGTTGGGAAGGCAGCAGAGACCACTGGCGGGAGCACGGTACTCCTTCACAGCACCACAGGAGGGCGGGCGATTGTAGATGTAGGTCAGGGACCCAGGGGGTAGACCAGGAGGAAGGGAGATGGGAGGTGAGGTCAGGGAACAGTGGCTGAAGCTGTGGGGATGAGGAGGAGGGAAGATGGAACAGGAGGTCAGGGCCTTGTGGTGGGATCTCTATGAACATGTGAGAGGCAAATTGGAGATAACAGTCTGGGACCCGTGGCCGGAGCTGTATGGACAGGGATGGGGAAGATTGAACTTAAGGTCACGTGGACCCGTGGCTGGAGCTGTGGACAGGGAGGAAGATGATGATCGGATAGGACATCAGGAATCAATGACTGGAGACATGTGGATAAAAAAGCACACGACTGAAGAGACGGTCAGGCTGCTTGAGCCACAGCTGTTTAGGCGAGGAGGGACGATTGGCCACAGCGACATAAGACAAGTGGTTGGACCCGTGTGAACAAGGATGCAGAGGTTTGGAGAGGAAGTCAGAGACCAGTTGGCTGAAGCCGTGTGGCCACGGAGCCGGAGGATTGGAAAGGAAGTTGAGGACCAGTGGATGGAGCTCTCTGTATGAGGAGGAACGGGATTGTAGATGACTGTTAGGGACGGGGCCAGAGCCGTGTGGTCAAGAATGAGGAGGATTGCAGTTCAGGTCGGTGACCTCTAGATGAAGCCATGTAGACAAACAGAAAGCGGAATGAGAGATAAAGTGAGTTGCTGGAGCCGTGTGGACAAGGAGCATGAGGACCGGAGAGGAGGTCAGGGACTTGTGTCCGAAGATGTCTCAACAAGCAGGTGGAAGGATTTGCAATCAACAGTCAAGGGGGACCAGTGGCTGCTGCTGTGTGAAGAAGGGTGAGGCGGGTTGGAGATAAAGTTGGGACAAAGTGGCTGGACCTGGGTGTGCAAGGAGCAGAAAGACTGGAGATGAAGTCAGCAACAACATGGCCAGACCTGGGTGAATAAGGATTAGGAGGTTTGGAGATTTTTAGGTCAGGGGCCAGGGGCTGGGGCCCTGTGACAAAGAAGAGGCAGAATGGAGAGGCAGTTGGGGACCAGTGGCTCGAGCTGCTGGACTAGAAAGAAGCAGCTTTGGCTGGAGGTCAGGGACCAGCAACTGGACCTTTGTGGATAAGGACGAGGAATTTTGGAGAGGAGATCAGGAACCAGTGAGTGGAGCTGTGTGTATAAGGAAGAGCAGGATGGGAGAGAGGGATCAGGGTCCCTCTCTGTTGATGTGTAGACGAGGCGGGAACATAAAGTCATAGACAGGTGGCTGGACCTTGTGTGAACAAGGATGAGGGGGGTTTGTAGATGAAATCAGGGACCCGTAGCGGGGACTGTGGGAACCAAGGATGAGGAGGATTGCAGTTCAGGTCAGTGACCGCTAGATGGAGCTGTGTCGGCAGAATGGAAGGGGTTTGAGAGAGGTTAGGATGCAGCAGGAGGGTAGGAAGAAAGGCAGGGACCAATGGCTAGAAGCCTTCTGCACAAGGCCGAGGAAGACTAGAGAGGAAGTCGGGGACCAGTGGTTGGGTCTTTGGGGACAGAGGAGGAGGTCTGGAGATGCACTCAGGTGGCCGTGGTTGATGCTCTTTGGTCAAGGAGGAGGAAGGTAGGAGATGAGGTCGGAAGCAGTGGGTGGAGCTGTGTGGACAGGGAGGAGGGAACACATAGAAGAACTCAGGGACCAGTTGCTGGAGCTGTTTGGACACAGCAGGAGGACTGGAAAGATAACCGAGGAGCGGAAAGGAAGCCAGTGGCTAGAAGCTCTCTGTACAAGGAGGCGGAGGACTGCGGATTAAGAAAGGTACCAGTGGCTGGAGCTGTGTCTACAAAAAGGACAATTGGAGATAATGTCAGTGACAGGGGGCCACGCCTGTGTGAGCACGGATGTGGAGGTTCATCAATTAATAACTCAGGGACCACCGGCTGGGACTGCGTGGACGTGAATGAGGTGTGCAGTTCAGGTCGGTTCAGTTCAGTCGCTCAGTCGACTCTTTGCGACCCCATGGACTGCAGCACGCCAGGCCTCCCTGTCCTTCACCAACTCCCAGAGTTTACTCAAACTCATGTCCATTGAGTCGGTGATGCCATCCAACCATCTCATCCTCTGCCACACCCTTCTTTTCCCACCTTCAATCTTTCTCAGCACCAGGGTCTTTCCCAATGAGTCAGCACTTCGCATCAGGTGGCCAAAAGTATTGGAGTTTCAGCTTCAACATCATTTCTTCCAATGAATATTCAGGACTGATCTCCTTTGGGATGGACTGGTTGGCTGTCCTTGCAGTCCCAGGGACCCTCAAGAGTCTTCTCCAACACCATAGTTCAAAAGCATCCATTCTTCAGCAGTTCAGGTCAGTGACCACTAGATGAAGCTGTGTAGACAAAGAGAAAGGAGAATAAGAGACAAAGTTAGGGACCAGTGGCTGGAGCTGTGTGGACAAGGAGGAGAGGGATTGGAGAGGAGATCATTGACCTGTGGCCAAAGGTGTGCGGACAAGAAGGAAGGGAACTGGAGAGGAGGTCAGGCACCAGTGGCTTGGCCCGTGTTGAGGAGGCGTAGGAAAGATTGAAGGTCTTGTCTGGGGAGGTATGTGGATAAAAGGATGGAGACTGGAAAGAAGGTCAGGGACTCGTGGCTATATCTTTGTGGACACGGAGAAAGATTGCAGATGAGATCAGGGACCGGTCACTGGAGCGGCGTGGACTCGGGGCAGGCTTGTAGAGGATATCAAGGACAGGTGGCCGGAGATCTCTGTACAGGTAGGAGGACCTCCGGTGACAGAGTCGGGGACTGGTGGCTGGAGCTGTGTGGACCAGGATGAGCAGGACTGCAGTTCAGGTCAGCGACCACTGCAAGGACCTGTGTGGAAAAGACAACGTGTTATGGGAGACAAGGTCAGAGGCAGCGCATGGAGTTAGGGGTACAGGGCGGTGGTTCTGTGAGGTCACCAGGGGCCTACGGTTGCTGCTTTCGTGAACACCAGAAGGTCAGGAACCGCTGGCTGGAGCTGTGTGGGCAGGGTTTGATAAGGTGGGAAGGAGGACCAGGACCAGTGGCTTTGAGTTATTGGAGGTGGAGTAAGAATAGATTATGGGCTTGCCCTGTAGCTTAGTTGGTAAAGTGTCCGCCTACAATGCAGGAGACCGGGGTTCGATTCCTGGGTTGGGAAGATCCCCCTGGAGAAGGAAATGGCAACCCACTCCAGTGTTCTTGCCTGGAGAATCCCCATGGACTGGAACCTGCCAGGCTCCTCTGTCCACGGGAGCACAAGAATCGAACATGACTTAGTGACTAAACCACCACCACCACCAGGGATAGATTGGAGAGGTCAGGGAATTTTCTCCAGAGGTATGTGGACTAGGGGGATGAAAAATTTGAGATGAGGTCATCAACTTGTGCCTGGCTGTCTTTGCAGAGGAGAAAGAGGATGGTAGATGAGGGCAGGGACCAGTGACTTGGAGCTGTGTGGATTCGGCACAGGAGGTGCGCAGAGGAGGCCGTGAAACATGGTTGGGGCTCAGTGTTCAGGGAGGAAATGATTCGTAGTCAAGGCAAGGACTGCTGGCCCGACCACCGTGCGAAAGGATGAGGACAGCTGCACTTCGGGCCTTTGACCACTAGATGGCGATGTGGAGAAAAGAGGGATGCTCATGAGAGACAGGCTGAGGGACCAGTGAGGGGAGCTTTGTGTTCGAGGGGGAGGAGGAGGTTGATTGACAGGTGGCCAGGGACCTATAGATGCAGCTGTGGGAACACAAGAAGGAGTTACGGAGCGCAGCTCTGGGACCAGCGGCTGGAGCTGTGTGGACAAGCAGGCGGAAGATTGGAGAGTAGGTCAGACACTGGCTGCAGAAGCTGTGTGTAGAAGCGGGGCGGGGGGGGAGGGAAAGTTAGTCACACAGTCATATCTGACTCTTTGTGACCCCAAGGACTGTAGCCAGCCTGGCTCTTCTGTCCATGGGATTCTCCAGGGCAGGAATACTGGAGTGGGTTGCCATGCCCTCCTCCAGGAGATCTTCCCGACCCAGGGATAGAACCTGGGACTCTGGCGTTACAGGCAGATTCTTTACCCACTGAGTCATCAGGGAAGCCCCGCACAAGAGGGAAAGTTTGGGATATAAGGCCAGAGCTGTGTGAACAAGGATGCGGCGTCTTGGAGATGAGGTCAGGTACCAGTGGCTGGGATTGTGAGGACAAGGGTGAAGAGGACTGCGGTTCACGTGAGTTGAATCAGTTCACTTACACAACCACTTATACAAAAAGGAACGGCGATGCTAGACAGTGCGGGGTGTGGACCAAAGGAATGACACTGTAGACAAAAGGAGTCATGTATGAATGTGAGAGCCGGACCGTAAAGAAAGCTGAGCGCCAAAGAATGGATGCTTTGGAACTGTGGTGCTGGAGAAGACTCTTGACAGTCCCTGGGACTGCAAGGCGATCCAACCAGTCCATCCTAAAGGAGAAGAGTCCTGAATATTCATTGCAGGGACTGATGTTGAAGCTGAAACTCCAGTACTTTGGCCACCTGGTGCGAAGAGCTGCCTTGAGGTATATGGACATGTTGCAGGATAGTGTGGAGAGACAGACTTCGAGTTCTTGCAGGAAGATGTGCAAAAGTAGGCTGGAAGATTTGAGAGGAGGTCAGCAACCTTGTGTCTGGATCTCTGTAGACGAGGATGAGGAGGATTGTAGAAGAGGTCAGGGACCAGTGGCTGGAGCTGTGTTGACAAGGAGGACGAGGATTGGAAAGGAAGGCAGGGACCCGTGGCTCACGGTATGTGGACATAGAGTAGGATAAATTGGAGAAGAAGGTAGCAACGTGTGCCTGGCTCTGTGTGGACAGAGGGGAAAGAGGATCATAGGTGATATCAGGGACCAGCAACTGGAGATCTGTGGACTCAGAGCAGAAGGTCCAGGAACAGTGGCTGGACCTCTGAGTACAAGGAGGAAGAGGATTGTTGATAAAGTCAGGTACCGGTGATGGGAACTGTGTGCCCAAAGGTGAGAACACAGTGGAGGAGAGTAAAAAAGTTGGCTAAAAACTCAGCATTGAGAAATCTGAGATCATGGCATCCGGTCCCATCACTTTATAGCAAATAGATGGGGAAGCAATGGAAACAGACTTTATTTTTGGGGGGCTCCAAAATCACTGCAGATGGTGACTGCAGCCATGAGATTAAAAGATGCTTGCTCCTTAGAAGAAAAGCTATGACCAACTTAGAATATTTAAAAGCAGAGACAAAAATAAAAAAAAATTAAAAGCAGAGAGATTACTTTGCTGACAAAGGTCTGTCTAGTCAAGGCTATGGTTTTTCCGGTAGTCATGTATGGCTGTGAGATTTGGATTATAAAGAAATTTGAGCCCCGAAGAAGTGATGCTTTTGAGCTGTGGTGCTGGAGAAAACCCTTGGAGTCCCTTGGACTGCAAGGAAATCCAACCAGTCTATCCTAAAGGAAATCAGTCCTGAAGATTCATTGGAAGGACTGATGTTGAAGCTGAAGCTCCAGTCCTTCGGCCACCTGATGCACAGAACTGACTTATTGGAAAAGACCCTGATGCTGGGAAAGATTGAGGGCAGGAGAAGGGGATGACAGAAGATGAGATGGTTGGATGGCATCACCCACTCGCTGGACATGAATTTGAGCAAGTTCTGGGAGTTGGTGATGGACAGGGAGGCCTGGCGTGCTATGGTCCATGGCGTCACAAAGAGTCGGACACGACTGAGCGACTGAACCGAACTGAAGGGTGAGGATGATTGCAGTTTAGGTCAGTGACCTCTAGATGGAACTGTGTAGAAAAGGGAAGACTGATAAGAGAGGAGGTCAGGGACCCGTTCCCGGCCTTGTGTGTGGACAAGGAGGAGGGGGCATTTGTGAGCGGCCAGGGAAGTGAGTCCAGCTGTGTGAACACAAGCAGGAATGGATGGGGATTCAGGGACCAGTTCCTCCAGCTGTACTGACTCAGAGGGAGAGGACTAGAGATGAGTTCGGTGATCTGATGCCGGAGCTATGTGGACAAGGAGGAGGACATCTGGAGAAGAGATCGGGGACCAGCGGCTGGAACTTTGGGAACATGAGGCGGGAAAGGAAAGGCAAGGACCAAGTGGCTAGAGCTGTCTGTACCAGAAGGAAGACGATTGTTTGGGGGGACAGGGGCCCGTGGCTAGAACTCGCTGTCCTAGGAGGAGCGAAGATAAAGTCAGGTTCTGGTGCCTGGAACGGTGTGTTCCAAGTGGAAGGAAGGCTGCAGATAACGTCAGAAACCGGTGGCTGAATCTGCGTGAAGAAGGATGGGGAGGTTTGTAGATGAAGTCAGTCGGGGGCTGTGTGGACAAGGATGAGGAGCATCGTAGTTGAGGTCAGAGATCACTAGTTTAGCCATGTAGACAAAGACCTGGCGGGTGGGGGGCGGCCAGTTCCCAGGCGGCTCAGTGGTAAAGAATCCGCCTGTCAGTGCAAGAGGCGCAGGTTCAATTCCCGGGTCTAGAAGATCCCTTGGAGTAGGAAGTTGGCAAACCGCTCCAGTATTCTGGCCTGGGAAATTCCGTGGACGGAGGAGCCTGGAGGGCTCCAGCCCATGATTAGATGGCAACTTGCTGGACGTGACTGAGCATGCACACAGACTCACAGGCCGTGAGGGATGAGGCTGGAGCTGTGTGAACACGGAGGATCATCATCAGGGTGGGATATTCAGGGATCAGTGGTTGGATCTGTGTGGACACAAATGAGGCAAGGTTGCCGAGGAGGGCAGGGACTTGTGGCTGAACGTCTGTGGGCAGGGAGGAATGATTAGAGATGAGATGGGGTGGGGGGCGTGGGTTTGTGTCTGGAGCTCTATTGACTAAGGAAGAGGACGACACCATCGAGGCAGTAGACCAGTGTCTGGAAGCTGTGTGAACAGGGAGGAGGGGGCTTGCATGTAAGGTCATCGACTACCAGGTGTAGCCGCATAAATAAAGGGGAAGGGGGCTGGGAGATGCGGTCAGGGACTTGAGGTCAGGGAGCGGTGTAGACAGGACAGGGAGGGAATCTGGGAGAGAAGGAAGTCAGGGCCAGTGGCCGGGATGTGTGGACAAGGAGGGAGGAGGGTTGGAGGCTTGTGGTGGAAAAAAAAAGAAGGAGTAGGATGGCAGTGTTGAGCTCCCTGTGTCATCCCGCAGATTCCTTCTGGCTTTTTCCACATTGTGATTTACGTGTTTCCACGCTACTTTCTCCATTAGTCCCACCATCCTTCCCCTACCCATCTGCTCCCTCTGTGTCTGCATCTCCACTGATGCCCAGCAAATAGGTTCTTCAGTATCATCTTTCTAGATTCCACATACATCTGTTAATATATTTGTTTTTTTCTTTGTGATTTATGTCACTCAGTGTAATAGGCTCTAGGTTCATCCACTTCATTAGAAGTGACTCAAAAGGGTTCCTTTTCTTGGCTGAGTAATATTCCACTGTGTGTATGTACCCCATCTTTTTTATCCATCCATGTGCCCATGGGCATCTAGGTTGCTTCCATATGCTGCTGCTTGTAAGTCGCTTCAGTGGTCTCCGACTCTGGGCGACCCCACAGACAGCAGCCCACCAGGCTCCCTCCGCCGTCCCTGGGATTCTCCAGGCAAGAACACTGGAGTGGGTTGCCATTTCCTTCTGCAGTGCATGCATGCATGCTAAGTCGCTTCAGTCGTGTCCGACTCTGTGCAACCCCATGGACAGCAGCCCACCAGGCTCCTCTGTCCACAGGATTCTTCAGGCAAGAACGCTGCAGTGGGTTGCCATTTCCTTCTCCTCCCGTGTGCCAGCTATTGTAAATAGTGCCTCAATGAACAGGGAGGTACTTGTGTCTTTTTCAGTCACACTTTCCCCCAGGGTGTATGTCCAGTACTGGGATTTGCTAGATCATATGGTTGTTTTATTCCTAGGTTTTTTTTTTTTTTTCTTAACTGAAATCTCCATACTGTTGTTCATAACGGCTGTACCAATTTACATTCCCACTAACAGTGCAGTGGGGCTTCCTGTGAGGCTCAGCTGGTAAAAGAAAATCCACCCGCAAGGCAGGAGACCTGGGTTGAAAAGATCCCCTGGAGCCAGGAAAGGCTACCCACTCTAGTATTCTGGCTTGGAGAATCCCATGGGTTGTATAGTCCATGGGGTCTCAAAGAGTCGGACACAACTGAGTGACTTACACTTTGAAACAATACAAGAGGGTTTCCCTTTTCTCCACAGCCTCTCCAGCATTTATTGCTTGCAGATTTTTTCGATGCTGGCCTGATACTTGTTCGTGCGCAACAAGATGCTGATGGGCCCGCAGGCCGGGAGGTGCAGGGGGGCACCCGGGTCAGCGGGGCCATGACTGAGTCCCGCACGCTGTACCCACAGCAGGAGCTCATCGAGAGCCTCAGCCGCAAGCTGCAGGTGCTGCGGGAGGCGCGGGAGAGCCTGCTGGAGGACGTGCAGGCCAACAGCGCGCTGGGTGACGAGGTGGAGGCCATGGTCAAGGCCGTGTGCAAGCCCAATGAGTTTGACAAGTTCCGCATGTTCATCGGGGACCTCGACAAGGTGGTGAACCTCCTGCTGTCGCTCTCCGGCCGCCTGGCCCGCGTGGAGAACGCCCTCAACAACCTGGACGACAGCACGCCTCCGGGCGATCGGGTACTCCCCCGGAGGCGGGACGGGTGGTGGCGGGGGAGGCCCCACGGGGTGTGCAGTGAACACCCGGAGGCCTCGCTGGGCCGGCTGTCCACCTGGTCGCAGAAGATCTTCTCTCTCTCTCCCTTCTCGTAGTGGGCGGTCGCCCCGAGATTCCCCGTGGTGTTCAGTCACCCGGTTGGGTCCGACTCTTTGCAACCCCATGGACCGCAGCACGCCAGGCCTCCCTGTCCATCACCATCTCCCAGAGTTTTACTCAGACTCACGTCCATCGAGTCGGGGATGCCATCCAACCATCTCATCCTCTGTTGCCCCCTTCTCCTCCCACCTTCAATCTTTCCCAGCATGAGGGTCTTTTCCAGTGAGTCAGTTCTTGGCGTCAGGTGGCCAGAACATGCTAGCATTATTTTATGCATTCAGACTCATGCCCGCTGAGTCGGTGATGCCATCCACAGGCTTATTAGTTAGCATTGGGGATCATTCCTGTGGTCCTCCTGGGCCCTGAGCCTTAACTGTATCCCTCGGGGTCTCCACGTTGGGTCCTTGCTGGGCATGCTTGATAAGCTTCACTTTCCTCGAACCTGCAGCCTCCTCTAGATTCAGTGTAGGGGCCGGGCCTCCACTCTGACCAGCGTTGGGGGAAACTGTTGATGACAGGCACGCTATTGAGGGCAGAGAGGCAGCGTCAGGCCGTGGGAGGCTCCCCTGTGTTTCCAGATAGAAAGCAGGACACATGGGCGAGACGTGGACACAGGACGCCCTCCCTCCAGTCAGAGCTAGTCTTTATGGATGCCAACTCATCTCTGTGGCCCCTGTTTGGAGAATCAGCTGAGGTCTCTTAAGCAGCAGCCCTGTGCCTCCGGCCTCTCCTCGGGGCCCCTCCACCCCTGTGACACTCCGACTGGGTTTGGGGAGGCCATTCGGGTTACCAGGTGGCGGAGGAGCGGGAGACACTGCAGGTGTCGGAAACTGGGACTAAAGATGGGGCGTTCCCTGGTGTGCACCAGCCGCCACATGGAGACTGTTTAGTGGCGTTCCTTGCTCCCTGTCTTGTTTTCACAGCAGGTTACGGGAGGGACAGTAGGTGTGCGCCCCGAACTAGGAGTGGGGGCGTGTGTGTGCCCCAGAGTGGGAGCCAGGGCAGCTAGGTGACCCGCCCCCCTTCTTGCCACCCGTTGTCCTCCTCACCATCCGCCTTTACTGGAGCCAGAGGGTTTAGCAATCCTGCCCTCGGAGATCTCTTTAAATGCACTGCTTTGGCCCACTTTGCCCCCATCCGCCGCGTTGGCAGGGAAATGCCGTGGCGCGCACAGGTCCCCCCCAACCCCCGCGAGTCCTTCACTGCCTGCGCGCAAAGTTTTGGAATTTTCTGGGCGCAGATGGCTCTCATGCCCCTCCGGGTGTATCTGGGCAGCTTGTGCGGGGCTGTATCTCGGCGCCTCGTGGCGAGGGGGCTGGCGGTGTATCGGGTGCCTCGTGCCGGGGTGTATCCCGGCTCCTCGTGGTGGGGGGGTGTATCTCAGTGCCTCGTGGGGGGGGGGTGCATCCCGGTGCCTCGCGCTGGGGTGTATCCGGGCGCCTCCCTGCGCAGGCGGTGGGAGGCGCTGGCCAGCACTCCGCAACCGGGTCCCCAGCAGGCTTGTGCGTCTTCTGTCTGTCCAGCAATCCCTGCTCGAGAAGCAGCGCGTCCTGATCCAGCAGCACGAGGACGCCAGGGAGCTGAAGGAGAACCTGGACCGCCGGGAAGGCATCGTCTTCGACATCCTAGCCAGCTACCTGGGCCCCGAGAGCCTGGCGGACTACGAGCACTTCGTCAAGATGAAGTCAGCGCTCATCATCGAGCAGCGCGAGTTGGAAGACAAAATACACCTGGGTGAGGAGCAGCTGAAGTGCCTGTTGGACAGTCTGCAGCCAGAGAGAGGCAAATGAGGGCGCACCCAACCCCCACCCCACCCGGCCCTCCCCGGAGGAGGAGGAGGACGCGGATGGGGTTGGCGGAGTCATCCGCTCTGGTCCTGTGGATGCCGCTGAAAACCGTAGCCTGTATTTACGTCCTATCGCTGGGGGTCAGGGGTTGGGGGGGGGGTGTCCTCTCACGGCCAGGTGGCGGTCAGCAAAGTAATAACTTATATGTGTGCGTTTGGGATGAGTTCTTTAATTCTTAGGTTCCCTCTTGGAATGCTGAACAGAGCAGCTCCCCCCTGCCGCTTGGCCGCCGTGGCCCGGAAGCGTCCCCACGTGGCGCCAGGGCTGGGGTGCGCCCTGCGCGCGTACGCACTGGGGTCACCCGCGTGGTCTCTACCGGCCTTGCGTGCGGATGCTGAACCCCGTCCTCCGCGTGGGCAGGAATGATCGCGTCTCTTAAGAAGGTGCATGTGGGTTGGGGGTGGGGAGTCGTCTGGTGCACGAGCTGTCCCGTGCGTCGCGGGAGGCGCTGGGCGGCTCTGTTCCCCCGTGCATCCGGAAGTATTGCGCCATTCGTTCTGTCTGTCCTCTAAGGATGACCCCGACCCAGCAAAAAAAAAAAAATCATGAGGATGAGTATTATTTATTAATGTGTTAGAAAGGAGAATAGTTATCCATGCGGTTTAAAGACCAGCGGTGAAATGACGAGCTTTCAGCGCGCTGGGTTCACTCATGGTGAAATCGCCACTTGCACAGTGTACATGCTTTAAGGCGCAGGCAGAAGGGACATACTGGTTTTTGTTCTTCTGGAATGACACCCGCGTGCAAATGGTATTTTTCCTGCAAAGTGAGATTACCTGACTGAAAGTGTGTCCGGAGGTTATGTGCTTGCGAGTTTTGTTTTGATTTTTTTCTTTAAGGCCCCTGAGATATTTTCCTCATTTACTTTCCCCTCCGCGCCCCCCCCACCCCCACCCCCCAAGAACATTTCTTTGGTGTGTATATGATCGTGGACTATAATTGGCAGCTCCTCTCTTTTTGCTTCTCTGGATTAGTTATGGCAGTGTCAAGGCCACCTCCTCTAAGAACCCGTGGTTTTGGCTTTCCAGAGGTCCAGGTGGACCATACAACTCCCAGACCTGGTCTTTCTCCACCACAGAGTTGACCACCGTCTGTTGCCTGTTTTGTCGTCTGATATTGCAAGGTGGTCGAGAGAGTCTGTTCACTAGAAAACACTGTCGGGCTGTTGTTTTCCAGTGGCCGAGCCACGACTAGAAGATATCTTGCAGATCCCGTGTGCTGCATTTGCATCCAGAACGTATAAAGATCTTTCCAAGTTAACAGCATGAAAACAGACAGCCCAGTTAAAACATGAGCCAGAGACTTAAATAGACAGTTCACCAAAGAGGCTATATGCATGTCGGTGGGCATATAGGTGTTCAGCCCCTAGTGGCTTGGTTCTCATGGTCTGATTTTTAACCTGATCGTCTGTGTTCCGTCCCAGTTGGGTGAGATGCCTGCATAATGGCGGGAGAAGCCCCCAGATAACTTCATGTCGGGGTGATATTCAGAGGTCAGATCATGTTACTCCTTGTTTCCTCCTGTGCCCGGAAAACGAGTTTTCTGACAGATGGGGAGATAGCCCTTTGTCACCGGTGACCGGCGCCTTACCAAAGACAGAAGCACACAATGTCTTATTAAAGGACACTACTCCACACCCACAGAGCCAGAAGGACAAGCTGGACTGGCCGCGGTGATATCTCTGCAGCCCTGGTGGGAACCGACCTGGCAGGCTTCAGTGATGCCGGCAATAAACATTCCTTTGGCAGCCCACCCACGCCAGAGAGAAGGGCCTTTTTCTGCACTTTTTATTCTTAAATTGAGCTGTTCCTGACTTGAAAAACCCCTCTTCTACCAATGAAGCGTCGTCCTCCTCCCCATGTGCTACGGTCACTTGCTGTGAAAATGGGTCATGGCGGAAAAGATAAAGCTGGCTGTCCACAGATCCCCCGCCCCGCCTTTCTCCCTTGGGGCGACAACCACTGTGATGTCAGTGTGTTTTGATTTTCAGAAAGCTTTTATCTGTGATTCTTGCCCTTCTCATACAGTATTGTGATCATTTTGATGATACGTCTGTAAAATGTGAAAATAGAGTTTATGCCTGTGTCCAGCTTTTCGGTGTCTTTTGAGGACATTGTCTTCTACACAGCAATACACAGGGCTCTGGTATCATTTTAACGAAGCCCATAGAATCACAACGGTCCTGTCTGTTTCCCCATCTGCCTTGTAAATGTCTGGTTGGCGGGGACCCAAAGATTGCAGTGAGTCAATGTGCACAACTTTGTATATAACTATATTACTGCACATACAATCTGGTGCTAACCTTTCTCCCATGGCATTCCTGGGTGGTGGCTGATGGCTCACTCCGGGTCATCACTCAGCTGAGACGTGCTCTCTATATCTTGAGGTTGCAGTCAGGGGCCTTGCCGGATACTTTGATCATGCATTCCACCGTGGAAGATTTGTACCGATTTCATGCTCAACACTTAACACTTACCTCTCAACAGATCATCCTGCTTGATCTTAATAAAATAAATGATATCTTTCAGTGAATGGAGCGTGTCTTTGTCTTGCATCTTTTTTAAGAATTGGAACGTCCTTCCCGTATGTCAGATCCTTCAGCCACTGTAGATCGTGGGGTCGAATCTGTATACAGGTGTTTGTTTCTGCCTGACAAGGTCAGGCCAGTCAGTCTGCAGCCAGGAAAACATCAGGGACACAGGTTGTATCAGTCAGCTGTTGCTACAGCCGTGCTGTGTAACAACCACTATAAAATTGCAGCAGGGTGCAGGGAGAAGTACTCCTTTAGAGGAGGAATTTGTAGATCCACGTGCCTGTCATCTTGCCTTTGGCCTGGGCACGTCCTTGGCACATGACCGGAGAACAAGCTCAGTCACATAGGTGCTTGCCCTGGGCGTGGTTATGGCGCAGCTGCTAACCTTCCACCAGCACCTGCTGAGTTCCATTGCTGCAGCAAGTCCTGCAGCCCAGCCTGGAATCCAGAAGGTGCGGCGTGCGTTCCACCCTGTGACTGCAGGGAGCTGCGAAGCCCTGGGGCCATTGGTGGAGCCCCGTCATCTCCCATGCTGGGTGCTGATGCGGAGTAGCACCCTGCGATCCAGGACCCGAAGCCAGGCTCCTGGAGCAAAGCCACCTCTGTCACTTGAAGCTTGTATGGCTATGAGCAGGCACTCGCACCCCTCAGCTTCCTCCTTTGCAGCCGTAGGGAGGGCAAGCGAGCTGATAACGTCAACCTGCTTGGAAACCATGCCGGGTCAGGGGAGTACCACGCGGATGGAGGTGTTCACACCTCTGGTGCTGTCACTGCAGCCTGGGTCTGGAGGAAAAGCATTCTCTGCACCCGGACGCCCCTGTCGGAACCACCGGAGGACAGATGGTAGCTGCTCCTGGTCAGCAGTGGACAGGTGCTTCTGTTTTTGGAGCAGGTTGGTGGGACCCGGAGGTCAATCAGTTGAGAGAAAGGCATTCTTCCTTATTTATTTATTTTTTTAAATAACTTTGCTTGTTGAATTTCGGCTGCTCTTGGGTCTTGCTCGCTGCTCAGGCTTTTCTCTAGATGTGGTGTGCAGGCTTCTCACACGTGGACCTCAGTCGTTGTGGCATCTTCCCAGATCAGGGGCAAACTCTGTCGCCCGTATCAGTGGGTTCTTTACCACTGAGCCACCAGGCAAGCCTGAGAGAGTCATCGCAAGAACTACTCAAACG